CCCCCCCCGTCCTGCACGTTCCCACCACGGCCCGTAATTCAGGAATTGGCCTGCTTCCTCGACCAGCCTGATCTGCAGCCTGGAGGCCAGTGTCTGCAGAATGCTATCCCCCCAAAAGTGAGGTTGGCCTGGAGACGACATGCTGCTTTGCAGAGCTCATGCTGCAGCCAGTAATTTGGGTCTGGATCGCAGGAGAAAACACAGCAGTAGTCCAGCACTTGGGCTCAGTTAATGCGAAGGCAATCGGAGGCAAAGATGCCCAAGACATCAGAAATTATTTCTCAGGAGATAGCCTAGCTGGTTTTCATGGGACAGGTGGAGAAATTAACCTGCGGTGGCTTTGCAGGAACCAACCAGTCCTGGGCCCTCCCTCTACCCACTTGGTGATCCAGAGACCCAAAATAATGGGACATTCTCTGATGATTAGGGTTCCCAGAGTCGCAGGAAAATTCCCCCCCCAAACCCTAAACATGTGTAAATAGGGTGTTCCCACAAAACTCACCAGCTTCATTTTTCCAGGCACACACAGTCTATGGGCTTCATTTTTTGAGACCCAGGGAGGGCCACTGGCAGGTGTGTATCTAGCCAGATAATTTGGTGAAGACCCTTCCACTGGTGGGGGAGGGAAGAGAGATGTGAGTCACCCCAGTGGGAAGTGCTTCCCCATCCTGCTTGAGTCTCACCGAGGACCAATGAGCCTCCCCCTCTGCCTCCAGAGCCTACCCACACCCAGCCACCTACCTGCATCTAGCAGCAGGTGACCCAGCCCAGAACCTCCTCCTGCCCAGTGCATGCCCCTCGTCTGCAGGTGAAATTCCCCCCGGCAGCGCCCTATAATTGTTGCTTCTAGTTCACCCCAGGCCTGACTCTGGAGCCCGCAGTGGGTGGACAGAGCTGGGGTGGAGAGAGGATAGGACCTGGGTGGGAACCAGAGAAAAGGAGAGCCAGGTCAGGGTCACAAGCCTTCAAGCCTCATCGTGGCCTGGTGGTCACACCGCCAGGAGGGCTGCTTGTCCAGACCTTACTCCATCCCTCCGGGCCTGACAGCCTCCTGCTGGCTGCCCCAGGCCCAGGGCCGGCCCCGTGGGGGGCCTCAGTTGCTGGGTACCCCGAAGCCACCTGGGCTCTCCCTCTTCTGCCTCTCCCCATCCTTCCTCTCATCCCCCTCCAGTGTACTTTTATTGTGCCGGTGCTCCAGCACCCTCAGAGTTGCCCTTTTGGATGTTTCTCGAACTTTGAAAATTTCCATGAAAGTGTCTTTTAAACGATGGACAGGCATGCCTGGGGTAACAACGGGTGTTTGGTGGGGTGTCTGCAGCTGGGGGCAAGGACAGAAGAGTGAACAGAAGGAGCCAGAAGGAGGAGCGGGGGAGAGAAGGGGAAACAGAAGTTCAAGTTGGACATTCTGACAGCAACTGGAAAGGAAATTTAGAAAGGGATAGAGGAAAGCGGGGGGGGGGGAAATTGGGGGGCCACCCCACCACGTGATTTCTAATTTCCCTTTCAGATGGGCCCTGCTCTCCAGAAAAACTAGTTTAAAGGGGTTTAAGACAAGAAAATGAGGTGAATGTCTTTCTGGTAGTCCCTCCGTGGGGTAGAGGCTTGGGCTGGGGCAGATGATGGGTGGGAAATTGCGGGGAGGCAGCTGCTCTAGAGTATTTTCTCTCCACGTGGTTTTGAAGTCTTGGCTGGCCGTCAGCTCCCCTACCCTTTCCAGAAAAGAAGACTCATTTATAACCCTTATGCTCCTTTATTTCTCTTCCCCCACACGGAGTCCCAAATCGTATTCCCGAGCTCTTCTGGATCTGCATGCACGTTTCAGGAGGATCGTTGTCCCGGGGTGGAATCCTACCGTATGCACGCGGCTCCCTGCACAAGCGCGCACACGCGCACACACACGCACACTTACGATGAGTGTCTGTAGGAAGAGGGTCCTGCGCGTCAGCTCTGCGTTTAAGACAGGAATCTGCCTGGTTACCAAAGTCAAACGTAAGTGACAATTCCCCTCTCCGACCAGCAAGGAAGGCGGACTACAAAAGTCCCTTTGTATCTCGGCAGCTCACTTAATGTTATTTATGCATTTTGTGCAAGGAATTGTGGGATTTTTCCCCACGGTAAACAATATGGAAATGTTAAAAAATAGCAATCTTCCAGCGCTTGTCCACGTCTGCACGCCGGGGTGACCCGGCGGGGCTATCGTGCGGGTTTCTCAGATCCCTGAACCGCGAAGCGGCAGGGAAAACACGAGCGAGCTCAGGGTACGCGGTCGCGGTCTCGCCGGTTCGGGCTCCGGTCTCCGGAGCGCCAGGACGCTGCCGCTTTAAGGGGGGGAGGGGCGGCGACGGCGGGGGAGGGGCGGCGAGAGGCTCCTGTCACCAAGCGGCTGCCGGCGCGTCACGTGGGCGCGCGGCGCCGCGACCATTGGTCCGAGGCACGTGTCCAGGAGACCGGCCCGCGACGTCACTCGAGGGGGCTCTGTTAAAAATAAGAACAAAAATCCAGAGTCAAAGTGTCTCGGGTTGCGCTGAGTGGCCTGGAAATTTCCGAGCCGCGCGGAGGCCGAAGCAGCGAGGGCGCGCAGACGGCGAGGGAGCGCGGGCGGCCCAGCCCGGCCCGGCCCGGCCCTGCCCGCGCCTCCCGCCGCTCACCCATGCGACTCGGGCCGCGGGGCTCGGCGGGGCTCGG